TCTTTATAGTAGAGAAAAATGCAACGAGTTCAATCTCTGTTGACTTAGAGGAAAATATTCAAGGTACTGTTAAGTGAGAAAGGCAAGTTGCAGAGAATAATACAGCACTTAAAAACAAAAGAATAAAACCCTGAAACATTCTTAAAGCAGAGCTGAGAACCAAAGTCATCTACCCTCACAAAGCTTACTGGCCATATTAAAATGATTTTCCTATTCCATTCTCTTATCACTTTATTATTCCAGAAGACTCTTACTCAGACAAGTTGTTCTCAAAATTCTCACCTTGCTATTTCCACAAAACCTGCCCTAGCCAAATCCCTATATTGACACACTTTAAATTTCAATAAAATCTGATCTTGACCTCCTTCAAAGAAACTACCAAACTCCATCAAGGTGATGGTTTCCCTTACTACAGCAAAGAATAAATTCAACTTAATCTTATCATTAGGTTATATGTTGTTGTTGTTTTGTTGAGATGGAGTCTCGCTTTGTCGCCCAGGCTGGTGCGCAGTGGTGTGATCTCGGCTCACTGCAACCTCTGCATCCCAGGTTCGAGCAACTCTCGTGCCTCAGCCTCTCAAGTAGCTGGGATTACAAACATGTACCATTATGCCTGGTTTATTTTTGTATTGTTAGTAGAGATGGGAGTTTCACCATGCTGGTCCGACTGGTCTTGAACTCTTGACCTCAAGTGATCCACCTGTCTCAGCCTCCCAAAGTGCTGAGGTTATAGGCATGAGCCACTGCACCCAGCCTCAGGTTGTATTGAGATAACTGGGGAAGTGACATTTGATAGCCTCTATATGTGTTAATGTGTGCAAGAGGAAAGGTGCAGAAGTAACCACATCAGACGATTAAAGCTTATTGCCTGGTGGGGGTGAGTAGATGCTAAATTAATTTTCTTTGTATTATTTCACGGGTTGTGGTGGATACATGTCCCTTTTATAATCCTAGAAGAGGAATTTAATTAAATTTTTTACAAGAGAATTAAGAAATACATGTATTTGCTTGAGGGACTATGAGTTTGTTCACTTTGAGGTTTATAATCCAACAGTGAGCCTTGCTTCGTAACTGCACTTGGGTTCACAGACAAGGTGGCCTCCCTCTTGTGTATAAAAAAAATCAGTGTTTAGAAACAGAAAACTTGCTTCCCTGTAGTCTCCAGACTTAGTTGCCTGTATTATTCAACTTAGCCCTTATGGAAAGTGACACCGAACACAAAAACCTTTTTGCATAAAGGGGCTCAGGCATCCGGAACATGTCACTTGACTTCTATGAAGCTCAAAGTCCTAAACACCAGGGATGAATACAGCTCACCTGGACCAAGGTTTAGCAATTCTAGGCCTATCAGTCATTATTCCTCACCTATGCTCTCTTTTTTTATTGCTCCTCCCCAAGCAAAACAGATTAACACACTATATGACAGTATATACAAATAAGAACAGAAATTGTACTTTATCTAGTTTGATGCAGGTTTTTAGTAAATTCTAAGAAAAAGATTAGATTTGCCCATTTCTTCAAGATATATGTGTAATAAGATTGATAAGGTAAAACTCTTGTGGGAAAAACTTTTATTCATAAAGGGAGAGTACGTCTCTACCTTTCTGCTAAGTAAACCAAAGATATTTCCCCCACGTATTATACCACATCACTCTGAATGAAGGTTAAGTCAAGCACAAATGAAGATTGCTGGCTTGGAGTGTACATGACAGAAACACTGTTTCAGAGAGAGAAAAAAATACTCAGCCTTTCCTGTATTCCCATTGATGTTAACTTTCTTTTTACTAGAATGACAATTGTGTCCTGCGTATATATACCTGTACCAGTAATCTAAATCAATGCCAGTTTGGCCTCATGTTGTTCCTCAGGGGTGAAATAATAGAGATTATTAAAAGCCTGATAGACTAGTGTTCTCAAACTTGAGCATGTATCAGAAGTACCTGGAGGGCATGTTCTGTTAGGGGGCCCCTATCTCAAGAGTTTCTGATGTGGTAGGTCTGGGATGAGGCGTGAGAATTTGCATTTCCAATGTTTTCAAGTCATGCTGATGCTGCTAGTTTGGTTACCACACTTTGATTTCGAAATGTCAGGGCTTGAAGGGCCCTTAAAAGCCACCTCCAGTCTACTTCTTGATCTTGAGAATCTTTCTGGATGTTTCAATGACATTTAATTTATAAGTAATTTTTTCTAACATAATGCGAACCTTTGACAACACAGCAGTATATTTCAACTACATAGCTTGCAGTTACAGGACAACTCACTAATTCTTCACATTTTACAGAGGAAATCAAAACTCAAATAAGGCTATGGCAAAACCCAGAATAACCCACACATTTGACTCCCAATTCAGGGCCATGATCCTAGTTTCTCATCTAAAAAATTATACTTAAAGATAAATAAGCAAACTTAGGAGGGAAAAAGGTCTTTTTAAATGTTTATATTCCTGTTACAGTAAATCTGGTTCAAGTATATTCTGGCTATACAGTATCTCTCATGGGAAATTAAGAGGTTCATATTTAGAACAGGCCATTTTAAGGGTCTGACCTATGGAAATAGTCTCACTGAGAATCATGTTGCTGGTGGCATAACTCAAGCAGACCCAGCTGTGATGTGTGCCAACTCAGGTTCACATAGCTGACCAACACTAGAGCTAAGAGGCCAGGCGGGGATGGGGGACAGTCAGGAGACTGTTCTGCTTCAGGTGGCACTGGTGGTGGCTCTAGACTCTCCACATGGGAAGGAATGCCAGTCTGGTTGGCTATGGAACTGGAGAACTTGAAGATATAATTGCACACTAAGCATACTCTGTCCAGCACCTATGCAGATGATGAGACCTAAACACTTCTTTCTCAGCAAACTCTTGGTTTTATCAATGGGTGGGGCAAATGTGACCTTGGTCACTAAGTATGCTTATGGCATTATATCTGATGGGTGGTTCATGGCAGTAGTGATATCTAAGTCAGTAGCCTTTAGGAACCATCTGTAGCTGGGACCTAAGGGACCGGTCCTGGACCTTGCAAAGGACTGTGTGAAGGAAGAGCCAGAGTAGCAGGGCCCAGCCAAGAAAACGGGGGTCTCAGTGGAAAGGCCCACCTCAGCCATGGGATTAGAAGGTTGAGTCAGGACTTGTCTGTAAAGCCAATTTTGTCAGTAAGTGCCAGGTAAATGGGCGCCTGAAGCTTACCAAGATCAGTTCCAGGCCTCACTCAGTGAGGGCAGGTGGGGAAGCTGAAAGGAATATGGGTTCTGCAGTCAAAGAAATCTAACTTCAGAATCCAGCTTTTAGTGCACAGCCCTTTGCTCTTCCAGCTCTTCTTTGCATTATTTTTTGTTTGTGAAACAGGAACAAGAACGATGCCTCCCTCACATTGGTTCTTGTAACTGAATAAAACAATCAATCAAAGGACCCCACATAGCCAGATACTCTTAGCTTTCTTCCTCTGTTCTTAAAAAATCCTTTGACCTTGGGAAGAACTAGGCTGATGGGCTCCAAGAGACTAGAGCCTAACCAGACAGCTGCCACAGCATGGTCCATAGGTCTGCATATGCGCATGCTCAGGATGGTGCCCCCTCCTTAGCACAGCCTCAGGATGGCCCACCCACTTGTTACTGCATGCTCACTCTGCGGGCCACCTCGCACCAGGAAGCTCACACCTGGACTGTTTACCACCAGTCCCACCCAAAGGGGAACAGACTCCTGTTCTTACCAATCATCCCTGGCTCTCATTTCCATTATAGCTAGGGAGACTAATACATGAAACACAGCCGCAGAAGGATTAGAGAACATTCTTCATACTGTAGAAATCCTGAACCATGAAAATAGTGGTTTTTGAGGGCTTTCGAAACAGCAGTGCTTCTGAAGCCAAGGAGAGGTTGTAAAGAGCACAGAAAATACAGAAATAGAAGTAGGGAAAGACGATTGTTTGCTTTGAACTGATACCAGATCATCTCAGTGAGAGAAACTAATGTGGTATACTCTTCCACAGAGGTCTCCAATCCTATTGAAGTTAGCAAATCCCAAGAAATCAACCGAGAAGGGAAACTCCTCCTGAATGCTTAGATTACTGGAAATTAACACACAAGTCGACATTGAGCCAGACAAAGAAGTTTTTCAGGAGGACTGCACTCTGTGTGGATCAAATTTCCTTCAAGACTCAAAGCAGGATACGGCATTGGCAAATCCTCATATATAAAAGCAAGAATCCTGGAGTTCCCCGTAGATTATTCTAAAAAAGGAAGCTTTCACCAACCCAGTAGTCCTGAAGGAAAACGCTCCCATTTTGATTCTATCCATTCATCAGGTTAAGGAAGAATGTGCCCACCTTTGTGCTATTTTTTTGAGACTTTTAAAAAAGATAATGAGATGAATATTACTATCAAAGTGTGAGCCTTGAAAAGATCCCGGATGAAACAAAACAACTACAAAATAATGTTAGAAAAATTGGGAAAATGTGACTATGGCTTGTCTATTAGATATCAGGGAACTATCAATTCCTTTTGTGTGATACTGGACTGTAGTTGGCTAGGAGATACCCTTTTTCTTAGATGCAAAGTATCATGATGACTGCAACTTACTTTCCAGTGGTTTGGTAAAATAACAGGGTAAGGATAAATCATTGTTGAATTTCAGTTGGATGGTATATAGGTGTTCACTGAACCAGTCTTTTGATGGAATATTTTTGAAACCTTTCAAAATCAAAAGACATAAATAGCAATAGAGATTTTCTGATTGATTAAGAAACAAAACTGAAGGCTGAGCAGGGACTTCATACGGCTTGATCCACGGCAGCATCTCTTCTGTTGTTGAATAGTTTAATGTCATGGGTGCAGCAGGCTCCCGGGTGACACACCTGGACCACTCCAAGGAGACTGGCTCTCTCAGCCTCTCTTTTTTTCCCTATCAAGTGTTCTGTAGCAAGAGCCTGCCCAGCCCTCTCCGGAAAACTGCCACTTCAGACACAAGGGTTTCAATCCTCTAGAATGCAAAGAAAGAGGCTGCATTTGTTGAGCTAAATTATCTCTTTATTAGGAAAGCACCAACACCACATTCTTGGAAATTACTGGAATTTTATTTGCCTCAGGCTTATGACTTGCAACCAAAGACATTGTGCAAAGAAAGCAAAGATTAAGTACACTTTAGGGAGAAGGAGACGATACACATTGGAAACATAGGAGATCAGGGTGACAAAAGAAGCCATCCAATACACTATATAGATTGCAATATTCAATAGCGTTTTCAACAAAACTTTTTTTTAAATCAAGAGCAAAAAAATTAAGCAATGTTTACAGTAGACATAAATCTTATACAATTCAAAAAGCTTTTGTTCAGATCATAGAGCATAAAATGGAAAAATGTATATGCAGGTGAAATCTAACTACTGTACATTTATCACCTATTAAAGTTGCTTATATGTACCACAGTGTAAAAAAACAATACCGAACAAATAAAAACCTCAAAAATTGCCTGATGAAAAATAAAATAACCAGTGGCTTTTAATGGCTTCTCCTGGTTATCAGTGCTACAAAAGACAAAAATCTTCTCTGAACAGGTGATAAAACCAGGCACAATCAAACCGTTACCAAATTAGACCCACCCATAGAAATATACTATCCACCCACATATTTTCCATCAAAAGCTTTTTCGTTTGTTTCAATCTTTGAATCTCTGAGGCCCATTTGGTCACAATATGTTACAAATATCTGTGGATGTGTGTGTTTTTTACACCATGATATCATATGTTTGTCTGGCACTATCCTAAAGCTAGTTTATAGATGATGATGATATAGAAACAACCCAGTGCCTATATGACAAATGAACTCACTGGGTAGAAATGAGACAGGGGAGGAAGGAATTCAGTTCTACCAAGGAAAAAAGGTCCATATCGATCACTCATCATCAGTCCCACTTCCTTCTGACTGTTCCTAAAAGTAAAAATAAGATAAAATGAAGTAACATCACATGCGATAAAAAGAAGATATAACAACAACACACCATTAAGAGGCTAGTAAGAAAAAATAACATTTTGGAAACAACCCTCCAAATCTCTTTCCGTGGGAGCACAGAAACACATTAAAGAGGCATCAGCAGCCTCTAAGCTGCGAAGATTTCCTTATTGAAAAACCCCAAAGCAGTGTGCACCCTCTGTGCTGTTTGTGCCCTTTCACTTTAGCTGGAAAGGTTTATGGTGAATATTTTCTCGTTTCCAGCCCTAGGTTTTAGAAAATTGATGGGAGGAAAAAAAAAAATACCCTGCATGTCATGTCTTCTATAGACAATGCAGTATTTTAAATGTATTCAAAAATGCTTGCATCAAGGGTTAAGGCTGGAGTGAGAAAATAATTCTGAAAACGGTCATGTGTTGAAGGTAAATCCAACTAGCACATACACTAAAAGGGAAATGTGTCTTTCCAGAAAGAAAATAATGGGTGCCAGAAAACCATCCTCTGGAAAGTGAATGGATGAAATGACGGGCACTTCAAAAGCCAAGGTGTCGGAGTTTCTGCCCACTCTTCTACCTTGCTGACCAGTCAGGGATAGCACACTAGACTGAGTTATGTTACTTGGGTCCAAATTCCACCCCTGTATGTGACCTGTAGCAAAACACACATAACCTAACCATTTCTGTGACACGTTTTTTGAGAGTGACATCTATCTCATGATGCTGACATCAGTATTTAATATGCTAACACACAGGAAGGTACCTATTTAAATGTCTGTCTCAATAGATGCTCCTCGAATTTTTCAAATATTAAAAATAACACCCCTGGGTACTTAAAAACTCATGAGTTTTTACACAGTCCCTTAAGTAGCAACTTGAGCCAGTAACTGACGTCATAACACTTTTTCTCATTCTTCCATCTAATCTACTGCTATGTACCAGGCACCATGCTGGGTGTGATGGATATAAAATATTAACTGGCTGTGGGGTAAACTATATTTATAAGAAAGCATTTGGGAAGATTAAAAAGGGGGGAGAATGAACTTGATTTAGTAGTTTTTCACTTTTGAAGACTATTAAAAAAGCAGTAAACAAAGCCCCAATCGTTTATTTTAAATCATACAGCTCCGTTCACATCCCTCAATAATGAAATCTCACTAATCCTGACATTTCCACCCCTGGGTAATAAAGCAAAAAGGCTGAAGGGGCATGGAAATGCGAGAGGCCAGCGAGCACTGGAGAGGGCATCTCTGCCTTCATCCCAGTTGGCTATACTTACACGTTCATCCTGCTCCTCATCGCTGTCAAAATCGCTCACTACAGGTTTGGCTTTTCCTCGGTTTGGCCTTTTCTTGCCTTTCCCTTTGTCCCGGCCTTTCTCATCTTTTTTATTGAGCTTGATTTTCACCTTGACTGATTTTGCTAAAACCAAAGCAAATAAAATAGACACGAATAAGTAATCACAAGGAGATCTTTGTATCGGTGATAAGACTATCAGCAACCTGCAGACAACACAAGCATCCCAGGGTGCCCAGAACATTTCCAGTTCATGCCTGTTCTGCGTGGTTCTATCTAGTTAGCGACCCTTTCACTTGCCAACCTGTCTTCATTTGGAAGATAAATGGTATAGTCATGCTAAGCAGGCAACAAGAGGGACTGAGGTCTCCAGGAGGCCAGCCAGGCTGGGTCCTTTTCTTGTCTCCCAGTGGCTGACCAAGGATAATGAGGGGAAGTGTTTCCTACTTTGTAGAGGTGTTTGGGCAATCATTAAATAGAACTTTTGTATTAAAAATATAAATAGATGTAAGGAGTATTTTTAAAGGCCAATACTTTTACTATGTAGATTCAAGTAGTTGAATAATATTTTTAACATAGAGGTACAAAATGGAAAGTAAAAAGAAACACTTTGAATGCTTCTCTTCCCCCATTCCTAGTCTCGCTCCCTACAACTCTCTTGTAATTATTTCCAGGAAAAAAAAAAAAATTATTTCCATACCTGCAAGTACATCCATTTCTCTGTGTATGTGTGAAATTCTACATATATTCTATAAAACTTTCTCTATAGAATATAAAGAATTCAAGTATGTATATATACATACATAAATATTTGAATTCTTTGCATAGTTATCCCAAAGGGATCTTTATACATACCCATATTCTATAGTTGGCAGTTCACTCACATATGTGGGACATTTATAGGTATCAGCTCACACATATCTGCCTATTTCTTTTAAATACCTGAAAATTTTCCATCTCATGATATACGATAATTTACTTAACCAGACTCGTACTGAGGAGGGGTGAAGTTTCCTGCTTTTTTGCTAGTATAAACAAAGCTGCTGTGAACCTATTTCAATGTATCTTGGCAGGATTTGAGGGAGGTATGGTGGACACGTCCATATGGTAAATTTCTAACACTGCTCTGCCAGATTGGCCTTAAGAAAGATTGTATCCATTTCCACCTTCACCGGACTATTCTGGGGATACAAATGAAAACACCTGGAAGAGTCAGAGGTACAGTATCACAGATATAGGTACATATCTCAAGGAACAAAGACAACCTGCTCCATGGTCGCTATTTGGGATAGGTATCCATAAAATACCATTTTTGGTATTTGATGATGAAGGCACTGAAAATGTGGGTCTCTCATTCAAGCCGGCTTTGCTAGACTACCATGTTTGTTGATTCTCAAGCCATCTAGAAATAGATGTTGTCATAGAAGGAATAGGAGCTCCAGAAGGAGTCTTAGAGATGATAATGTTCCAGGCTTCTTTTGTGAAGTCGAGGGACCCACATCTCTCACAGAAAGATAAACTAACAGAAGAGAAGAGAGCTGTGCTGTTTTGAACTGAAGTATGGTGGTAGCATTTGCCTTTCCTCCATCTCAAATGGAGCAAAGGTTGGCAAATGCTAGTACATAAGGTTTCTGTTATACTCAATGTCTGCTGCTTAACAAGCTATGAGGTGGGGCCCTTGGTTTTGGGTAGAGTAGGTTAGGACAAGAGGAGGAGACTGGAGATGAAAAGGCCTACCTATTAATGAAAATGGAAAGATGTGGGACATCTAAAGAAATAGATGCCAGGCTGGGTGCAGTGGCTCACAGCTGTAATTCCAGCACTTTGGGAGGCTGAGGTGGGCAGATCACCTGAGGTTGGGAGTTCAAAAACAGCCTGACCAACATGGAGAAACCTCATCTCTACTAAAAATACAAAAAAATTAGCCAGGCATGGTGGCAAATGCCTCTAATCCCAGCTACGTGGGAGGCTGAGGCAGGAGAATCGCTTGAACCTGGGAGGCGGAGGTTGCAGTGAGCTGAGATCACACCGCTGCACTCCAGCCTGGGCAACAAGAGCGAAAACTCCCTCTCGAAAAAGGAAAAGAAAAGAAATAGATGCCAGAAGCCAGTCATAATGGGCATTTCTAAAAAATGTGGAAAGACAAAGTGAAATAGATCCACTTATACAGGTGTGAGTTCTTTCTGACACAGGAGGATGGGAAATGAATGGGCAGAAGATGGGCTACAGAGGTAAGAAAATGCATCCTGTAGAGCATAATCTAAATGTGCCTTAGAATGTGGCACACTCTAATACTGTCAGGCTTGTGCATCCGTGGATAGGTCTCTCCAAAAAACCCACCTAACAGACTATGGACAAGCAGGCTGATAAACTGGACCATCAGGTGAGCCCTACAAACAGCTTCCTAAGGTTTTATGATACAACCATATACACCAATGAAAAGTTTTAGATACCAAGTGTGGTGGGCAGAATGTCGGCTCCTCACAAGATGTCCATATCCTAATTTCAGAACCTCTGAATGTTAATGATCTGACCTTGAGATGGGAACATTACTGTGGATTATCCAGGTGGGCCCGACCTAATCATCTGCATCCTTAAAAGTGGAAGAGTAAGAGGCTAAAAAGGAGGATGCAAAAAGAGAGATTCATGGAGACACAACATGGGAAGGACTGTACCTGTCATTGGTGGCTTAAAGTTGGAGCTAGGGGTTGGGGGCGGGGAGTGAGCCAAAGAACACTGTTGAGAACAGCCTTCCACTGGCATCCCACCAGAAAATGGGAACTTTGCTGGTTCTACAAACACAAGAAATTGAACTCTGCTGAGAACCAGCAAGAACAAAAAAATGGGATTCCCCTCTAGAACATCCAGAAAGGAACGCAGGCTGCTGAAATCTTGTAGCCCAGGGAGACCCATGTTGAATTTGTGACCCACAGAACCATGAGGTAGTAAGTTTGTGTTGTATTAAAGCCACTACGTTTGTGGTAATTTGTTCCAGCAGCAAGAGAAAATTAATACACCAAGGCTTGAGAAGTTAAAGAAACTAAATTGATAGATGGAGAGAGGGCAGCTCTTTGAAAACAGAAATCTGGCTCTAAAATAAGGACATATATAGCTAAGATATATAATGCAGATGTATTCAAGTGCTAGAACAAAGGAATTTGGGAAAGTTTAAATTTGTAACAAATAAAAGGCAGAATCACTAACTAGAATACTGAGAACAGAAAAGGATGTCAGGAGAGTCATGTATGTTGAGAGCAAGAATGGAAACTCCATCCTATATGGCAATGTGTATGCTTCACATACATTTTAAATCTTTTCAATAATTTATGGGTAAAATGCTCAGGACAGCATTAGTGAGAAACAGCCTGATTAAGAGTATAATTAAGAAGTTTTAGTATATTCATTAATGATAATATATATTATACAAGTTAATATATGTTGTTGTAGAAAAACCCTCATTGCCATCAAAAGTGTTCATATTAAGTACAAAAATCATGTCACAAAACAGTGTGCTATCTTTCTCTCTTTATTTTTTGAGATGCAGTCTTGCTCTGCTGCCCAAGCTGGAGTGCAGTGGCATAATCTTGGCTCACTGCAATGTCTGTCTGTCTCCTGGGTTCAAGCCAATCTCCTGCTTCAGCCTCCCAACTAGCTGGAACTACAGGTGCATGCCACCACACCCGGCTAATGTTTTTGTATTTTTAGTAGAGACAGGATTTCACCACGTTGGCCAGGCTGCTCTTGAACTCCTGACCTCATGATCTGCTCGCTTCAGCCTCCCAAAGTGTTGGGATTATAGGTGTGAGCCACCGTGCCCAGCCTGTGCTATGTTTTTATAAACAAATTTATGTATATAAAAATAGAAGGTAACTTCTGAAAATATTATATATATATTGGGATATAGAATTTTAAAAAAATCTTTTAAAAAATATTTTCCAAGTCATCTGTATTAAGTATGTAATTAGAAACCTAATAATTTTTTGAAAGCATGTTTATACTTTTTTTTTTTCAGACAGAGTCTTGCTCTGTTGCCCAGGCTGGAGTATATTGGTGCGATCTCAGTTCACTCCAACTTCTGCTTCCTGGGTTCAAGTGATTCTGCTGCCTCGGCTTCCTGAGTAGCTGGGACTACAGGTGGCCACCACCATGCCCGGCTAATTTTGTATTTTTAGTAGAGCATAATCTAAAATCTTGATCTTAGCCCAGGGAGACCCTTCAAAAGTGATCCACCGGCGGGGCACGGTGGCTTGCGCCTGTAATCTCAGCACTTTGGGAGGCCAAGGTAGGTGGATCACGAGGTCAGGAGTTCAAGAGAAGCCTGACCAAAATGGTGAAATGCTGTCTCTATTAAAAATACAAAAAAAAAAAAAAAATTGGTGGGTGTGGTGACGCGTGCTTGTAATTCCGGTTACTCGGGAGGTGGAGGTTGCAATGAGACAAGATCATACCACTGCACTGCAGCCTGGGGGACAGAGCTAGACTCCATCGTAAAAAAAAAAAAGGTGATCCAAGTGCCTTCGCCTCCCAAAGTGCCAGGATTACAGGCATGAGCCACCATGCCCAGCTTACACTGTTTTACATACCAGACCTAACTACTAGGTAGGATTTATTATTTTGGGAGGTATAGGTTGAAGACACACATAACGAAGAAATTTTATGTTTTAAAATATTTATTATAAGTTAAGTTTTTTTTTACCCAGGCTGGAGGGCAGTGGTAGGATCATAGCTTACTGCAGCCTTTAACTAGTAGACCAAGCAATCCCCCAGTCTCAGCTTTCTGAGTAGCTGAGACTATAGGCACATGCAACCACATTTGGCTATTTCTTTTTAAAAAAATTTTTGTAGAGATAGGGTCTTGCTACATTATCCAGGCTGGTCTTCAACTCCTAGCCTCAAGGTATCCTTCTGCCTCAGCTTCCCAAAGTGCTCTGATTATAGTTATGAGTCAACATGCCCAACTAAGTAGAAATTTTCAACTTATGACAGCACCCTTAACGTTTGGAATATTTGGGTTATCAGTTAGGGCTGGAACTAGGGCAAAACAATCGAAGCACTCACCTTGAGTGTAAAATTTAACGGGGTACCAAAATTCAGTAATCAGCTAATATCCTAAGAGGTTGTAATATGAATGCCCCAAAGTCCATGATAAACAAAATATCAAAATTTTAAATAAAGTCAGGAATCAGTACCCCCTCATCAGCCCTCTCTCCCTGGCAAAAAAAAAATAAAATAAAAAATCTGCAAAATTCACAGTTCCAACTCAGTTTGACAATTATTTTCTAAAGCTGGGAATCTAAAAGTGTGGTCACGGGCCCAGCAACATCAGGTCCCCTGGAATTTGCCAGAAATTCCAAGCCTGCCACAGGCTACTGGATCAAATCCTGACATACTCTTCAAGCCCTCCAGGTTTGAGAACCACTGTGCTCAAGAATAGAAGATAGGTGGCATTTACAGCAGTGTTGGTAGAAAACGTGAGTAGGCTAATATTCAGAAAGTGTTTGCAGGTCAAGTGTGGTGGCTCACGACTGTAATCCCAGCACTTTGGGAGGCCAAGGCGGGTGGATCACTTGAGGTCAGGAGTTCGAGACAAGCCTTAGTATCAACATGGTGACACCCCCTCTCTACTAAAATTACAAAAATTAGGCGAGCATGGTGGCAGGTGCCTGTAGTCAGTTACTCGGAAGGCTGTAGCAGGACAATCACTTGAACCCAGGAGGCGGAGGTTGCAATGAGCTGAGATGGCGCCACTGCACTCCAGCCTGGGTGACAGAGTGAGACCCTGTCTCAAAAATAAAGAAATAAAACAGGCCGGGCGCGGTGGCTCAAGCCTGTAATCCCAGCACTTTGGGAGGCCGAGGCAGGTGGATCACGAGGTCAAGAGATGAGACCATCCTGGTCAACATGGTGAAACCCCGTCTCTACTAAAAATACAAAAAATTAGCTGGGCATGGTGGCGCATGCCTGTAATCCCAGCTACTCGGGAGGCTGAGGCAGGAGAATTGCCTGAACCCAGGAGACGGAGGTTGCGGTGAGCCAAGATCGCGCCATTGCACTCCAGCCTGGGTAACGAGAGCGAAACTTCGTTTCAATTATTTAATTAAAAAAAAAAAAAAAGAAAGAAAGAAATAAAACAGTGTTTGCTATGAGCCTGGCCTGTGCTAAACATTTTACATGCTTAGAGGTCATTTTTATGACTTCAGTTTTACAGATGAGAAAACTGAGCATGAGCAGGGTGAGGTATATGGTCTGCGGTTGCCCAGCAAGGACAAAGTGGACTACGGGCTCCAATCCAGATCTCCCCCACTCTGAAGTCTCTCTTGTGAGCATCTGTGGAGACAGCTATGCAGGTAAGGCGGGCAAAGACATAGACGACCTGAACGTCTGGCCTTACCTTCAGACTCTGACTCTTCTTCATCTTCTTCTTCCTCCTCTTCATTGCTTTCATCCTCACTCTCTTCCTCTTTGGCAATTTTCTGCCGGGCACTCTTAAACACTGACTGTAAGACGATGGAGTCTTCATAGATCTGAATGGTCAAAGGGGCATCTGTTAAAACTATAAGCTGAGGGCCTAAGATGTACCATGATAGTGAACTCTTCCTTATACAACACACCAGCTTACTGTACATGAATTTTAGTAGAAATGTCACCATTAGCTTTTATCCCCACACGAAAACCAAACAGCAAAAACACCAAGCCGAAATACAGACATACACATTCATAGAGGAGAAAGTCCAAATGCAGTTGGAATTATTTCAAAGTGTATGGAGGCTTGGAGGAGAACGGTAGATAAAATATCCTCATATTTGATGTCAAAAATAGCATTTTTAAAAACCACATTTCTTATTTGAATTGTTCCGCCAAATACTGCAGTAAGACTGTGGTAAAGCAATCTTCTTTAAAATGCAAAGCCCCGAGCAAGTGGGGGCTATTCCTTCTTACTGAGTTTATCAGTTGCAGCCAATACTCATCCAATCAACCCTTTATTTTTAGTGTATACACATATCTAAGCATGGCCCTGGGTAAGTACTGAAAGATATAAGTTCAAAAGTTGTCCTTTTCCTCAAAAAACTGAAAATAGAACTACTCTATGATCTGGCAGCCCCACTTCTGGGTAAAGAATCAAAAGGAGGGTCTTGAAAAGACATTGGGACACCTGTGTTCTTAGCAGCATCATTCACTATAGCCAAGGGGTAGAAGCAACCCAAGGGTCCATCAACAAAAGAGTGGATTAGCAAGTATGGTCTATACATGTTACAATATTGTTCAGTTTAAAAAGGAAGGAAATCCTGTCACATGCTATAACATGGATTAAACTAGAGGATATTATACTAGGTCCGTAAGTGCATAAGCCAGTCACAAAAAGACAAATACTGTATCTAAATAGGCAAATTCATAGAAACAAAGTGCCATGGTCGTTGCCAGGGGCTGGGGAAAGGAGGAGATAAGAGTTTCAGTTTTGAGACCAACTCAAGATGGCGCGGTGAGAACAACCCAGGATTGAAGCTCTCGGTGAACGCGTGGAGGGTGAGTTGGGGCCGCATTTCCAGACGGATCTTTGTTGCCCACAGAATGGGGAAATTCCCAGGTATAAAAGGGACGCGGGGGTGCCATGCAGCGGTTTTGGCTGGTGCAGCCGGCAGCCAGCACTGCAGCACAGCGGTGCTCCACAGCACTTGGCACAAAGCGCATGGGTCCGGGTGCCCTGTTGAACTAGCAATCTGAGACTTGAGAGGGCAGATTGGCATATCCATCTGATTGAACGGGACTTGGACAGTGAGCCAGATCAGGAGATTCTAGGGAAACGGCTTTGGGCCAGTGCAGTGAGACAAACAAAACGGTGATTCCAAACGCTCCAGGTGGAGAGTTTCACTGCGGGCACAGCTGAACCCAGGACAGTGCAGCTCAGTGGGGAAGGGGCGTCCGCCATTACCGAGACAATCTGCCCCTACTGAGGTACACTCACATTGCTGATGCAGCCTGCCATTGCCAAGGGAATCCGCCACAACAGAGAGACTCCGCAACAGGGCGTACCCCGTGGCAGCAGGGCGGAGACCGCAGCAGCAGGGCAGAGCCTGCAGCAACAGGGTGGACCTCACACCAGCAGGGCGGAGCCTCAGCAGGCAAATAGTGACTAGACTGCCTCCTAGCTGGGCAGGACAGCGCAACGGACACTCATAAAGAAAGCCCCAACCCACACGAGACAGAGCATCTGAGAAAAAAAAGGGTTTTTTTTTTAATGAGTTCTGCTGCAGCAGAATTAAACGTAGTAGCCTAACAGCCCTGAATGAACAACAGAGCTCACAGCTCAGCACTTGAGCTCCTATAAAGTACAGACTGTCTCCTCAAGCAGCTCTCTGACCCCTCTATATCCAGAAGACTGGTATTTGGCAGGCATCATTCTGGGACAAAGATAGCAGAAAAAGAAACTGGTAGCATCCCTCACTGTTTTGCAGCTGCTATAGGTGCACCCCAGACAAGCAGGGCCTGGAGTGGACCTCAGCAGTTGTACAGTGGAGTGGCTAGACTGGTAGAAGGAAAACCAAGTAGCAGAAATACTTCATCATCAACAATCTGGGTGTCCACTCAGAGACCCAATTGAAAAGTCAGCAACTACTCAGACGACAGGTGGATAAATCCACAAACATGGGAAGAAACCAGCGCAAAAAGGAGGAAAACACCCGAAACCAGAACACCGCGACTCCTACAAAGGACCAAAACTCCTCACCAGCAAGGGAACAAAGCTGGACGGAGAATGACTGTGACGAAATGACGGAATTAGACTTCAGAAGGTGGATAATGAGAAACTTTTGTGAGCAAAAAGAACATGTTTTAAATCAATGCAAAGAAACTAAGAACCTTGAAAAAAAATTTGAAAAAAGATTCGAGGAAATGATAACAAGAATGGATAACTTAGAGAGAAATATGAATGAATTGAAGGAGCTGAAAACCACAATACGAGAACTTCGCGAAGCATGCACAAGTTTCAACAGCCAAATTGACCAAGCAGAAGAAAGAATATCAGAAGTCGAAGATCAACTCAATGAAATAAAATGACCAACCAATATTAGAGAAAAAAAGCGCAAAAAGGAAAAGACCAAAGTCTCCAAGAAATGTGGGACTATGTGAAGAGACCTAACCTACGTTTGATAGGCGTACCAGAATGTGATGAAGAGAATGAATCCAAGCTGGAAAATATTCTTCAGGATATTATCCAGGAAAATTTCCCCCACCTAGCAAGACAGGCCAACACTCAAATGCAGGAAATACAGAGAACACCACAAAGATATTCTGCAAGAAGAGCAACCCCAAGGCACATAATCGTCAGATTCACCAGGGTTGAAATAAAGGAGAAAATACTAAGGGCAGCCAGAGAGAAAGGTCGGGTCACCCACAAAGGGAAGCCCATCAGACTCACAGCAGATCTCTTGGCAGAAACTCTACAAGCCAGAAGAGAGTGGGGGACAATATTCAACATCCTTAAAGAAAAGAACTTTCAACCCAGAATTTCATATCCAGCCAAACTGAGCTTCATAAGTGAAGGAAAAATAAAATCCTTTGCTAATAAGCAAGTACTCAGAGATTTTGTCACCACCAGGCCTGCTTTATAAGAGCTCCTGAAAGAGGCACTACACATAGAAAGGAACAACCAGTACCAGCCATTCCAAAATCACACTAAATGCTAAAGAGCATCAACATAATGAAGAATCTACATCAACTAACGGGCAAAACGGCCAGCTAGCATCAAAATGGCAGTATCAAATTCACACATAACAATATTAACTCTAAATGTAAATGGACTAAATGCACCAATCAAAAGACACAGACTGGCAAATTGAATAAAAAACCAAAACCCATCAGTGTGCTGTATCCAGGAAACCCATCTCACATGCAAGGATACACAAAGGCTCAAAATAAAGGGATGGAGGAAGATTTACCAGGCAAATGGAGAGCAAAAAAAAAGCATGAGTTGCAATTCTCATCTCTGATAAAATACTTTAAAGCAACAAAGATCAAAAGAGACAAAGAAGGACATTACATAATGATAAAAGGATCAATATAACAAGAAGAGCTAACGATCCTAAACATATACGGACCCAATACAGGAGCACCCAGATACATAAGACAAGTTCTTAATGACTTACAAAGAGACTTAGACTCTCACACAATAATAGTGGGAGACTTTAATACTCCACTGTCAATATTAGACAGATCAACCAGACAAGAAATTAACAAGGATATCCAGGGCTTGAACTCAGACCTGGAACTAGCAAACCTGATAGACATCTACAGAGCTTTCCACCCCAAATACACAGAATATACCTTCTTCTCAGCACCACATCACACCTAGTCTAAAATTGACCACATAATTGGAAGTAAAGCACTCCTCAGCAAATGCAAAACAATGGAAATCATAACAAACAGTCTCTCAGACCATAGTGCAATCAAGTTAGAACTCAGAATTCAGAAACCAACCCAGAACCACACAGCTTCATGGAAACTGAACAACTGGCTCTTGAATGTTGACTGGATAAACAATGAAATGAAGGCAGAAATAAAGAAGTTCTTCGAAACCAACTAGAATGAAGACACAACATGCCAGAATCTCTAGGACACATTTAAAGCAGTCTCTAGAGGAAAATATATAGCAATAAGTGCCCATATGAGGAGAATGGAGAGATCCAAAATTGACACCCTATCATCAAAATTGAAAGAGCCAGAGGAGCAAGATCAAAAAAACTCAAAACCTAGCAGAAGACAAGAAATAACTAAGATCAGAGCTGAACTGAAGGAGATAGAGACATGAAAAACCCTTCAAAAAATCAATAAATCCAAGAGCTGGTTTTTTGAAAAGATCAACAAAATAGACAAACCACTAGCCAGATTGATAAAAAAGAAAAGAGAGAACAACCAAATAGATGCAATAAAAAATGACAAAGGGGAAATCACCACAGATTCCACAGAAATTCAAACCATCATCAGAGAATATTACAAACAACTCTATGCACATAAAGTAGTACACCTGGAAGAAATGGATAAATTCCTGGACTCCTGTGTCCTTCCAAGCCTAAACCAGGAGGAAGCTGAAACTATGAATAGACCAATAACAAGGTCAGAAGTCGAGGCAGCAATTAAGAGCCTACCACACAAAAAAATCCCAGGTCCAGATGGGTTCACAGCCGAATTCGACCAGACACACAAAGAGGAGCTGGTACCATTCCTTCTGAAACTATTCCAAATAATCCAAAAAGAGGGAATCTTTCCCAAATCATTTATGATACCAACATCATCCTGATACCAAAACCCAGCAGAGACCCAACAAGAAAAGAAAACTTCAGGCCAATATCCATGATGAACATAGATGCAAAAATCTTCAATAAAATATTGGCAAGCCGACTGCAACAGCAAATCAAAAAACTTATCCACCATGATCAAGTAGGATTCATCCAGGGGATGCAAGGCTGGTTCAACATACACAAGTCTATAAACGTAATTCACCACATAAACAGAACCAAAAACAAAAACC